ACAGAGTTCCCGTTTAATTTCCACTTATAAATTTCGTAATTATTTTGTGCAAATACTAAAATTTCATTTTTTTTCTGATGGTTTATAACACATTTTTCTTTAAGGCACAAAGAGACAAAAACCTTTAGTGCCCATCTCATTTCACATTGGGAAATATATATGATTACAACATCATGTCCATGCAGAACAGCTGGTAAAACTGTTTACTAATTCAAAGGGCAGATTAACAAGGTAATGGTTAGGAACTGAGAGGCCCTGGATTATTGATTTAATATACAAATTGAAAACCAAGGGGGTTAAAATGCACCCTGCCTCAACTGTCTGTGTGGAAATAGCTCTAGAAAGACATTCTCAAGGATAGCATCTAACAGGTTTTAGACACACTTTAGTTTTTCCCATAGGTTCAAATCAAAAGTTGATTTGAAATCAATGAAGGCTGTAAAGAGAATATCTCAGGTAGGAAGAGAATTTTTCAGGTAAATGATGAAGGATCAGATAGCAGTCTAATGCTGGGTGGTCCCCACTAAAGTCAGTCTATTCCTCAACTAGAACATTCGCACTTTCAATCCTGTATTGTACTTTTGGCTGGAGATATTTGGTGTATAAGTAAGCAGGCTGATGAGTCTAGAGTTGGCAGAATCCATTTTTTTCTGTATACTAGAAGGGGATAACAGTGGCATGGTTCTGGTTCCAGCAGAAAACATGCCGAACTCTTATTGCATGTAAATAAAATGATTGCCAATCTTTGTTCTCCTCAGTAATTCTGGGAGTTTTCCAAGTTTTAACTGAAATAATCTCATTAACCTCAGCTGTAAATGCAGATGGCCAGTTAGAAAGAGCATTTTAATAACTCGCAATTGGATTATCTAATTATTTAATTGTAAAGATACTCTGGAAATAATGCTGCCATGTTTCTGCAGCTATTTGGTAGGTTGAACCAAAGTCTCTTATCATTAAAAAATCTGTCAACAGAGGTCTCCAATTTGCTATTATTGGTTGATTGAATGCTCATAGAAAAAAAAATTGAAACTTGTAGAAACCAAAACGACAATTCTTTTTATTAACTAAGAAGTTGTCTACAATATTGTCAAGGTCAGTTGTGAATAATTTTATCATACAGAACAACATCTTATTTTCATTATTCTTGTTCTTTTTAAGCAAATTATAACTTTCAATTGCTGTATTCCAGTCATAGGAATTCACCCAATAAACCTCTGTTAAATCTATTAAGTCCAGTTTTCTGTTCAAGATCATTCTTCTATTATTTTTCATATTCTGAACAGTTGTGTGTTGACAATTCAAACAGTTGTTTTTCCCCTGAATGTTCACTGAGAGGTTTAATGCATCCTAATATGGAAACTGCAGGGGTGGGGGTGCGGGAATATCTGAAAGTTTATCCCAGGCAATTCCATCCAGATATATAAGAGTTGTGTTAATTAACTTGGTACTATGTAACTCAGGCTGAGTATTTTCTCTGTTTTAAGATTCTGTGATTGCCACAGACCAGCATTCAAAATATCATTCTCATCTCCATTCCTTGGTCTTGCCAGCTTACAGACCTTTTCATTTCCAGCCGCTACAGGATTCAGTTTAGTACATTTTAGCCAAATTTGCCAGTCCTTGTGAGATACAATCCATACTGGGCCAGCAATCCATTAACAACTTTTGCATTGAAGGAACTTTTATTTTCTTTAATCATTAGTACTGCATTTAATTTTCCTGCAAACTTTATAAACCAATCTTTGTATTTAAAGTACAACACACATTTTCAAACAACAGTTTTGTTCATTTTATTTGTGAACTCACTTCATTTAACCCTTTGGATTTAAATCACATATCTCTCTCGCATCTGAAAAGGTATCTATAGGTGTGGAAATGAAATTTCTCATATTTAACAAAGCAAAAATAAACCTCCATTGCAATTAAATCACAATATCATTAAAAAGGCATTTCTAATAATCCATTTTGCAAGGAAAACAGCTAATTGTTTGCAGCATAAAAGGAAATTAACTCTCTCTTGCCTATCATGTGAAAACATTTTTGTGCTATAGCTGGAACACCGTTGTTATCCTGTCAATCACAGAGAAACATTAATACAAAAGTGGACCATTCGCAACTGGAATTTCCTTTATGTGGTGAAATGCTCACATCAGCAACCATTGGAGCTCATTGTTTACAGCATGACTTAAGCTTTTTGTAATAAGGAATCATATCATGTTAATAACACTTTTGCTAATTCAAAATGAGCAAATGGTTTAACAAAAACTATACCATAATATAATTCACACAGACACAAAGAAATGACAAAAATTTTGGCAAAGATTTTGCGTTCCCTCAAAATAAAATGAGAACAGCAAAACAGCTATATCAGCATGCTTAATAACTGTTATGTAACACAGTTAATAATAATATTAAAGATGTTTGTGCTATTTTGGACAATTTTCTATCCTGTAATTTTATTTGGATTTACCCAAGAAGGTTATTTGCTACAGGGGTTATAAAATCAGTCATAGGCATTACACAACAAGCTTCCCCCTTTAAAATTTTATTGCTAATGACAATGCAGCTTTCTGAGACAGAGAAATGAGGTGGGGGAGAGAAAACAAAGCAACAAATATTCCTCATCTTGGACAAATTCAGTGGTTAAGAAAATTAACTGAAAGCAACCCTGGATGGACTGACTTTTCCTTCTCTGAAGAACCTTTATTTAATTTAAAATAAACCAAAAACAAATGAGAATTAGTTGTGAAATTCAAATAAGGTAAACTCTGGTCAGTTTAAACGAGTTTTTTTATATAACAGTCAGACTTTAACTGGGCTTTCCCTCCCTCCCACACCCATTTAGACATAACAATAAATCTTGACAAATCAGAACCATCTACTTCTTTTAACCCAGCTACAGGTTTGTAGAAGATAAAGGAATGCTAGCCCCACACTTGTTCACTTGTACAGCAATAAACAATGTTCTGGTTTTTTGTCCAAATTGGGCCACTCTAAAACTTAAACAACAGTCTGTTTCAAGCCAGAAATCGCAGAGAATTTATAGTATATTTTAATTACTCTTGTACACAAAAAGCATTATTGGGAATATCAGGATGATTCACAATCAGGGTTGCCAATCAATTATGGAGAACAAGCCAGTACGGGTAGCCTTCGAGTTACAACAGTCCATTTAGTGACCAAAGTTACAACGGCACTGAAAAATGGCTTAATGATTATTTTTCACAATTACCTTTGCAGCATCCCTATGATCATGTGATCAAAATTCAGACGCTTGGCAACTGACTCATATTTATGATGGTTGCAGTGTCCAAGGGTCATGTGATCACCTTTGTGACCTTCTGACAAGCAAAGTCCATGAGGAAGCCATTCACTTAACAATCAGGTTACTAACTTATCAACTGCTAACTTATTCACTTAACAACTGCAGCAAGAATGGTCGTAAAATAGAGCAAAACCCACTTAACAAATTTCTCACTTAGCAATGCAAATATTGGACTCAATTGTGGTTGTAAGTCAAGGATTACCTGTAATCTTGCTTTTTATTGTGCTGTTTAATCAGTTGTCAAAAAACCCCAACACTTTTCCTTGTTAGCTTTTTCAAAAGATTAACACAACTGATATTGTGCTCAGTTGGTTTCAAAATATAGGTTGATCAAATCAGTGTCATCAGCCAGACCCTCTGGACACCAACCTTGAGGCAGAAGGTCCTAGGCATGTTTCCAGATCTGGCTCAGATAGCAAAATGTGTCATGTTGAGAAAGTTGGCAATCCTATCTATCATCTAGTTTACTTTCCAATTGTTCCTAATTTGGCTTTGATCATCAATAATGGAGTATATTGCAGGGTAAATATTTATGGGATGAACTTTTCAGCATGTGAATGTAGCTATTGCCTATTTAATTCAAGTTACAATCCTGTCATTGTCATTTAAATGTGCTACATAAATGATTTGCTCTTGGAGACTAAAATCTGTAGGGCCTCATCAACATAAATATGTATCACTATTGTGCCTATTAGTTTTTTTAAGTGAACAATTTTTCCTTTTAAAAAAGCGGTTCTTGTTATCTGCAGTTTTTTATATCTCCAACTAACAATTAGAGATCAGATTTTAATAGTTGCAGAAGGTTTTTGCATATCTAGTTTTTGCCATGTTTGGTTACTTTATGCATGTAGTTAAATGAGGGGTGGACTTTGTACATGCCTAAAGTATGTTTATTTAAGGTTAGAGTTAGGTCATCTGTGCAAAATACCTGTATTAGTTTTTTTTTCATCTGTTTTCATTTGTTTTGTCATCTGTGCAAAATACCTGTATTTGTTTTTTTTCTTGTTCATAATAAGACATGATGGATTTTGACAGATCATCTCAGCCATGAAGCTTCATGTGGTTCTCTGCAGCAAATGGCTTCTGGAGCAATTCACTTGGCTGCTGATGGAGATGCCACATGGTTCTCCACTTTGCATGATGTTTTTACAGTCTCAATGGAGAGGCCTCTCCATTGTTTCGCCGGAGATCAGTGTTGTCTGCAGACTTCTTGCAACATCTATAAATTGCATCATTAGTTGCTAGTGCTGCCCACCAACCATTCATTTGCTATTAGTTTGCTTGAGGAAGACACAGGAGCCATGGTGAGGAGCTCATGACTGGGTGGACTCAGTGAAATTTGTTAGGACTGAGCAAGGACCAAAGGAACACATACAGATACATTACATAGACGACTGTTAGAGGAGGAAGAGTGGATATACTCATGGGAGGAAGAAATGACCATGGAGTCTAGAATCCTTCCCTATGCCTGCCCAAATTCCCACAGAGTTCAGATCTCATTCTGTGATTTCCTTGTCCACAGTTCTATACCAGAATGGAGATGGCCCTTGTCTTGAGAATAAGGCTTTCATGGACATGCATATACCCTTCCATGGTCTTTGCTATCAACACAATACAATGTACTGTAGATAGTTATATCCAGGCTCTACATAGAAACAAGATGCTAGCTATTATTTCTATTACATCTCCTTACACAGACATTGAAAAATACCTATAGCTGATGTGAAATCTTCAATATGAATATCACCCGAAATTCCTGGCATTTATTTAACAAAACATGTTACCATTATTTCTTTTCAAACTGAAGAACAGTCAGAATTAACAGTGCTAAATCTACATAACATACTTTGCCAGAATGGAATTGAAAGGACCAAACTCTAATGTTTATTTCATTGCTATTAATTTTGTTTTAGCTCTAAAGTTAGATTTCTTTATTACTGAAATAAAATTCTAGCACAATTTCATGTTTATAACTACTTCCTCTAATTGAGATAAAGCTAGAGGTGAGGTATCAATCAATAAACGGAGTAAATGCTGTGTGAAACACGGAAACTGGGTAAAAGAGATGGCTTGATGGATTAGTTAGCTCAGCAGGGGACATATACACACTGCATTTCAGGGTAAGCCTTTGCAGCTAATAGTCAGTGCAGCACACTCACCCTGATTGTTAAGCAGAGGATCCTCTAGGGAATCTGAAGACCTATGCTCAGCATACGTACTATTCCCTCTGCAAATATTGCTGTCTTTCAGAGATCCAGACACATACAAACATGCTTATGGATTGGGTACTTCATAAATAAATAGGTGTTCAACGTTTATTCCTATTATATTAGCTCAAACAAAACTACATTGCAGAATAATCTGGATAGGTAGTTTTATATCCACATGTTTACAGTCACAGGCAGCATAACTTCATAGTTATATACAATTTGGCTGAAAATAAGTTAAATCTTTAAAGAGCATATAATTTAACTTAGAATAACCTTTCACTTGTTTAACTGTTGTGGTGCGCATGTGCAGTAGGTTTTTGGCAAATCAGCAGGTTTCTCACAAAGGAAAAAGTATTCTGAAATGGCCACCACATTGATAAATGTTACTGTGGTAATTTAGAAGGTTCCTGTGAAACGAAGAACCACCTATATCTAAGCTGAAGTCTATACTGTATTAGTTTACAAACAGTTTCCAGTTTACAATGGTAAAAACCAATAACGTCACAATGTATATAAATGCTAATTGAAGACAAGTATTTTAAAATGGAATAGAAAGTAGCATGTTAAAAACTATCACATACACACAGCAAAGACAAAGATTTTCAGCAGCTGTGTTTTAAGGGTGGGGACAGAAGCAGGAAAAACTGTCTAAACACCAGTCCAGTTTTGTAATTTCTATCATTGCTATGATATTGATCAATTTAAAAATAAAACTCTAAATGTGCATAATTTTTCTTTTTTTTCCTAAGGCTCTGAAAATAGAACACAAAGTAAAAGTACATACTTGAGTGGCATGTAAAAATCCTATCCCACGTGCATTACATACGCATCTGACATTAAAATAATTGTTAAAAAGTGTGGATGAATTATTGAAAAAATTGCACCAAGTTTTTTTTTCCTGAAAAGTTAGTCTTGAGATAGTAATCAAATAATTTTGTTTTGATTCCAAACTAGTTACTATATTATCAGTTTTTCCTTAGTTTGAATTAACTCAACAAAACCAAAACTAATTAATCACAAGTTAGTTCCCCAAATCACAAAAGTTAAAAAGCTGCTGTTATAGATGAACAGATGAAATGTTGACACAGAAACTGGACCGTTCATCAGAGTCCCACGAAGTGCAAACCATCATTCAGACAACCAGGGAAAACTGATCTTGCTCTATAGGCTTCTCCACCCAGGCCCCAAGGCCAGCCTTCAGAAATGCCTTAAACAAACACTCTTTGGCAGTTTGATATTCCGCAGCTACCTGTTTTGTTTCATGATAGATATTTGGCTTATTGACTTTTGAATGAAGACTGGCAGGAAGCTGGATAAATCAAAGAGAGAAAAAAAAGAGATGTTTATGAAAGCATCATCTTGATTGCTCTAAATTCTTGTAAATTGAAACCCAATGAACTGATGTGGGTTTTTTTTTTAAATAAAATTTTCCATTAGAATCAATCTCTAAATCGACCCCAAATACCCCATGTCCTTCCTCCTATTTTGTAATTCCAATATTACACTGCAATGCTTTCAACTCCACAAATAAATAGCAAGTGAACACAGAATCTTGCTAACAGAAAAACCATTTGGACTTAAAACAATCCCATCCTTTTCCAATCAATTATTCATGTCTGTTTCATGGTTCATTCCCCTTTAGTGAGAGCTGTTGAAAGCAGAGCAACCCCCCAAAGGTTATCTGAATTACACTCAGCAGGATGAAAGGGAAGTGCATTTCATCTCGCAGCCCATTCTTTTCCTAAAGGCCCATGAGGCTACAACCATGCCCAGCCATGCAGAGGCAGGTGCTTTTGATCTAGGTAAATCATTGTAATGGAGATAGAAAATAATTTTCTCCCAAGATATTTTTATGGATATTTTTAAAATTAGGTTTCTTCGAATAAATACTTAAAGCGCTCATAATATTTTGCAGTAGTCACTTTCTTTGTTTTAAGTAAGTTTTATCTGCTACTTATTCTTGTTTTTTTATTCTTCTCAATTCAATAGAATAACAGAAAGAAGTTAGTCAGAGGCTCTCTGTCCTTTCGTAAGATAACGTTCCAAAGAATGAAAACAGAATTCAGTTTGGGGAAAAAGAAGCTGGCAAGTAAAATCCTGACCTCAAAAGAGGGTTAAATCTGGCCAGGGGGTGTGAAGTAAAACATTCCAGAAAAAAACTATGCCAATTCAACTCTATGGGAGAGGTGGCTGGACAGCAGTTCAAAATGTTACTGAAATGTTCATTCTAAGCTCCCCTCCCTCCTACATGACCCAGAGAGGAGATATACAGCCTGTCCTGTACGTAAACATGAACAGGGGGGGGGGGGGAGGGGGGGGGGGGGGGAACCAGGGGGGGGCAAGAACAGAAATACCCATATAGACCCAACGCACATAGTTTGTTACAAATAGCCACTGCTGATAAAGAGGATGGAAACAATTTTAGAAGCCATGCTCTACATATTTTTCTTTTGTTAGTAATTTTTGTAAATATTATTACATTTTGCTAATGTAAGAAGGAGGAGGAGGAGGGATGGGAGAAGGAGGAGAACACTTTCTATACTTATTAGAAATGAATATGTTAAGATTAGAGTTCCCCGAAGTGGTCAGCATCAACTCCCAAGGATCCACAGGTATAACCAAGGAGTCAATGTTATTATTAGTATTACTATCAGTATGGGTGTATTATTTGTTAAAGTAGTATTTATGAAATTATTTTCATACAATAAATATTTAGGAGCCGATGAACAAGCTCAAACTTCAAAAAGAGTTTGAGGACTTTTGATGTAGACTTTTTTCCTAGATCATTTCATGGCAGCTATAAGCAAAGCTTTTCCTGTCCTATTCTATGAGATAAATAGGAGATAAGAAAATGGATTTACACCATGGATAGGAAAATCGTGGCTCTGCACATGTTATCTACATTTCTTATAACAGATGAGTGTCGTTGGGGCTTCTGGAAGTTTAGCTCAGCAATATCTGGGGGGGAAAAGTAATTTCCTATCAAAGAAGCCAATGTGTCTCAGTTCTATATCCCAAGTTGTTCTTGGAGCAGCAGCAACAATAAATTAATATTTGATGTTCATCAGAGTTCATACCTTGAAAACATTCAGCTCTCAGACATAAAATCAGATAATAAGTCCAATAGCCGTAAAGTAACATTGGACTGTCTGTTTTGAAAACCTACCTTTGTATAAACACGCATCCAGCGAGTATATAGTGCATGCTTACAAAGACGGGATGCACGACCAAGCTCATCCTTGCCTGTTGTAGCATTAATGACTTCCAGCCCAGCATCCCCAACTGTCCAGTTCACACTGAAATTAGGTGCTTTTCCTGGTTGACGGGCTTCAGCATTGCTAATACCTGAAATAACCAAACAAAAATATCAGTAACTGGTAGAAAAAAATAGGGCAATACAGCAGCGGCGGAAACTGTGGAAGTTACGGAGGCGGCTCCCCCACCCGAGAAGCAGCTGAAACGCTTCCACGGTTCCCACCGCTGCTACCGCTGTTATTGGAGATGGCGCTGGCGAGAAAGGGACAGCTGCAGCTTGGCCTGGGCACTTGGAATGCAGGAACAGGCTGCGCACCAGGACTTTTACAAACTTTCAGAGCCCAAGGCTGGAGCACCAAGGGTAGCAGTAGCAGAGACACTTGCTCGGCTCTTCTCACACCCACCCAGCCGCTCGGGATTAAACCAAAATGCAGCGTGCGGCGCTCCCAGGTACCTCAAAATGTTTTATTTTTCCTGTTGTTATGGGGACGGGGCAAAAGCGGGAGAGACTCAGACTCTGTTGTTGGAGACGGCACTGGTGAGAGAGGTGCCAGCACCGGTGGGAAACGTGGAAGCTACGGAGTCCTGAGAAGCGGCTGAAACACTGCCAGACATCCACGCCGATGCCGACCACCTGCTGACGCGGGTAAGGGAGGGGTAAGGGGGCCCTCCGTGCTACACCATGGTGTTAGGAACAGCTGATGGTGAGGCGTAGCTGCCCGCGGGGCACTCCTGATGGCAAGTTCCCCCCCACCTTCCCCCCCAATTTCACATGTTTTAAACTAGGCCTAAAACTGGGGGAGGGGCTTAATTTCATTTTATGCCTAGAAAACATGCTGGGTCTTCCTATTGGGGGGGGGCGTATTGTTGGAGAAACACGGTAATAATTTGAATTGTATTTATTTGATTCAGTAAGGCTTAATGCTAGAAAAATGGATATAAACCTGCCCCTTCATTCTATTTTATTGGGCGGGGAGGGGGTTTCATATAAATTAAGCACTAGTTTGAAACAGCCAGATAAGCTATCAAGAATGTATAAAGATATTTCAAATGAATGTTGGAAATGCAAATCTAAAGAAGGGACTTTCTATCATTTAGGGTGGACATGTGATAAAGCAAAGAAAATTGGAGTCGGATTCATATTCTGATACAGAATATTCTTAAAGTGAATATAAAGACAAAACTTTTCTTTTGGGTTTAATGGAAAAAGACTTGGAATTTTTTTTGGGAACTTTGATGTAATATATGTTGACGGCAACAAGATTACTTTATGCACAAAAATGGATTGAAATGCTTCAATACCCACAATGGATGAATGATTTAAAAAACTGATGGAATTACAAGTACTTTTGTTTTGTCTTGGAAACCGCTTCTGGACTTTGTGCTTGAGGTGGGAAAAATGAAATTTTGATTTGGGGTTTTACTGATTAGATACTTTGATTGTTATAGAAATGGCTAGTTTATACTACTTCGTAAAAGTAAAAAGTTGAGATTTGATGTTACTATCTTATTCTACTGTACTAAAGGGAGTCGGAAGTCAGTGCCTTTTCTTTCTTTTTCCCTTCTTTTCTACACTTTTCTCTTCCCTTTTCCCTCCCCTATTTTTCCTATTATTTGCTTTTGTATTTTATATTATCAACTAATAAAAAGGATTAACAAAAAAAGACTTATGGTGGAATTTTTTTTCTAATGTGTAATTTCATGGTTCTTTGGAGAAAGCTTTTTTATATAATACAGCCATTTATACAGTTTGTATAATAGATGACTAGTGTACTTAAATAAGCTTCTTAGGTCTCCTGGTGAACATTCTCCATTAAAGTACTAACATTTTATTTTTCTCCTTTAACAAAAAACAGCCCTTGGCTCTAACAACAGTCTTTTCACTCACTTTGCACTATGTTCTTCAGTTAGCCTAAAACAAACCATGAAATTATTCACAATGTGTGGCTCTGTACTCAGTTACTAAATTAATTAAAACATTCCTTTAATAAGGCATAGATGTTTGCAGTCATGTGCAAAACTAAGAGGAGGCTTCCTTATGCCCATCAATTCTGCCATCTTTATCTCTAGTTTTGTACTAAAAAATTGTCAATAGCAACAGTCTAGTTCAGTGGTGGCTAACCTTTTTGGGCTCCTGTGCCAAAAACTGCGTGCGTGCTGGCACTCGCGCTCTCGCGTGTCAGCACCCAGAAGGCAATGTGCACACCACCACGTCCCCTGCGCATGCGCACGCAAATCCCCCACGTCCCCCCTGCCCCCTTACCTGCGCTGCTCCTCACAGCTGATTTTTGGCTGGTTTGAGGCTTTTTTCAGCCTCCCAGAGGCTTGAAAAAAGCCTCTGCAGACCGAATAGGCCCATTTCATCACTTCCAGTATTACAGGAAGTGACAAAACTGGCCTATTTTCAAGCCTCTGGGAGGCCGAAAAAGGCCTCAAACCAGCTGAAAAATCAATTGTGAGGCACACGCACGCGCAGTGAGGTAAGTTTGCCTGCGGCTCGCGTGCCAGCACAAATGGCTCTGCATGCCACCTGTGGCCCACGTGCCATAGGTTTGCCATCATGGATCTAGTTGATCCCAAGCTCTTGGAATAGATTTATCATTTATTAAAGTTTTTGTGTTAGCAGTAGTTGCAATATTTTGAAAAAAAAATGACAGCATTAGAAGAGATTCAGTTTTTCTTTCATTTCATGCTTACCACTGAGTAAAGGTCTGTTAAGTACATAGAGAGATGGCAGATCTTCAATCTCTGCTATCCGCTGGTATGCTGCCCTGGACAAATGGTCTCCATGATACAAACTTCCCAAGATAATGCTTGAGAGGTATATTGGCTCTACAAAGAGACTAAGTAAAGCTCCTTGAATACCAAGTACATTCCACCTAAAGGGAAACAAACAACACCCTCTGCTTTTAGCATGTCAGCACTCAACAATGTTAATGCAGTAGACATGTGAAGCAATTTTTTTGTGTATGATTGCCTCTTGAAACTCACCCTGCCATTTCATTATTTCTTCTAGCTTTCGCTAATTTGTTGCCATTAATGAGTGAAAACATTTGTCTTCATAGCAAAATAGCACTTACACAATAGACTTCCTAGAACTCTACAGAACATAATATGACTGCAAAGAGATCATAAATTCCTTTATTTCCTGACAGTTGCTATCCTTAATTAATTGCATTATCTTGGTCAAAGGAAAAGGGTAATATCTCTAACACCCAGTGTGAGTAATTTTTAAGATTATCAAAAGGTGAAGTCACAACCTGGCTCTGCTGATAGTGCACTTTACACACTGGAGCTGTGCAGGGCACTCAGTGGTCAAACTGTGTTGAATAAGCATTGATTTTTGAGGGCTGCAATTATTAACAAAGTATTCATCATGTTTACTTGGCTGACCATTGCCCTTTCTGGCTTATTAAGTGGGATAATGTGTAACATAACCTGCTGCATCCATGTTATTGTAAATTCCTCCTTTATGGCACCTTTAAAGATGACTTTTTAAAAACCTACTATAAACCTAATATACTGGCTGCTAATATTCCTTTCTGATATCATAGATCAAAATATTTTTCTAGACAGGATATCTGAGTTGGGAGATGAGGAAACTGCAGTATTTGGGTAGATGATTTCAGGAGACTATTACTCTGCTCAGGAAGATTATGCTATGGTGATCCTCAGTGTTCCTTTTACCTCCCATGGTTTTTAGCATTTTTATTGAAAGAAGCTATTAGAGTTATCAAATGTGAATCACTTTGTCATCTTTTCTTTTGGTATAATTAATTTTTAACTAGCATCATAGGCTAATGAATGGCATGAGGCCTATAAACTGGGGTCTTAAGCAGTGGTGGGATTCAAATAATGTAACAACCCGTTCACCCAGGATCATTTTGGCTGTCGTGAGACCAATTTGACCCTGGGAGAACGAGTTGTTAAATTTCCACCCTTTGGCAAAAGGGTGCTTGTCCAAGGGTGCTTGTCTGCACGTTGGCTTTGCGGCTGTTTCAGTCTTCTGGACGCAGCTCCGTTAAGAGGCGATGTTTCTGAGGAACCGGGGGGGGGGGTACCATAGAGACAAGGAGTTGATGCTCCAGAGAGCTTGCGTAGGAGGGTGAAGAATTGGGAGGAAGTGGAGGGAGGGATTCCCCCCTCCCTGTGGAGCAGGGGGTGTTGGTCAGTCTGTGAGCAAAAGTGAGAGGCGTGACGAATTAGTTGGCAGCACGATCAAAGCTGGGCCCAATGCAGGGGAGACTTTGGGGTTAGTTTGGCCAGGCAAATTATTATCCCCCCTCCCATTACAGTGGATCCTGGGCACTGTGCTGCAATGGAAAAATGGGCAATGGAGCAGCCGGCACAAGGGAAGGAGAAGGCTGCTTTCCCTCCTCCTTCCCTCATGCCAGCCGCTCCATTGCCTGTTTCTTCATTGCAGTGCAGCGCCTATCCACTTTGATAGCGGGCATGGATGGGTAATTTAACAACCGGTTCATGTGAACCGGTGAGAACTGGCTCAAACCCACCACTGGTCAAGTCAAGATAAAGATACTGCTTTTAACTGAGTCAGCCATCCAATTAAATGGTGTTCAACCCAGCAAGCAATTAAATTGGCAAAATGCCGGCATAATAACTGGTCCTTCAGTTCAATGACTGCCAAAAGCTTTTAATCCAAGATAATTATTTTACATATAACATGTGATATAGACTCTCAATATCCACAGATAAATATTTATGATAGCTTAATATGCACTGCAGTAAAACTTGAAAGGACTCCAGATTTAATCATATTAGCTAAATAAAATTAAAAGCAATTGAACTACTCTGAGTAGTATAACCAAGTTGGGAAATGCAGAAGTGATTTTTATACATTTTGAGTAACTTATGCTTTTAACATTTTCTTCCACATGTCTTGTGGGTAGAACTCTGATTGACTTGTTTAAGTTTAAAGTAATTCAAAGGAGTAGGAAGGCGGTAATATTGTGGAACTCATGCTTTGCATGTTAAGTCTCATTTTAGAATTTCCAATTTAATAAGACTGAAGTATAATTAGGTATTTTGTGTTAAAATATACTTCAAATCATTATTTTTAAATCGCATATTGAAAAGTATTGCAGTCATTAAATATTACATTACAAAAATACATGACTGAACACCATATATCAAGTGATTTATAAGGAGTAATATTTGATAAAAGAAATGCATGAGTAAATAAACATTTTTCTTCTGGAAGTAAGTGATATTTCCAATTCAGCAGACAATTTGAGGACCCAAATTGTTGGGGGCAATACACTGACTCTGTAAACCGCTTAGATAGGGCTTTAAAGCACTGTAAAGTGGTATATAAGGCTAAATGTTATTGCTATATGCTATATCTCTTTTTGTCAGTTTTGTCCTATTATTTTTCTCTGAAAATTTAAGATAAGCTATCCCAAACCATCTATGATCTGAGAACCAACAGGATGAATTTGTCAGGGATTGAAAGAGACAGTACAGTGTTAGCTGCCTTAAGCTCTTTTAGATAGACAAGCAAGAGAGGACTCCATCGGTATCTAAAAATGTGAGGTCAAGGGGGCATACCCTGGTTTACCCATTGTTTACCCATGAGCTGCAGAAGGGCTGGTTAAGGCTGCATGCAATTACTGACAACCAACCAAAATCTGTGGGATCAATTTGCTTTTTAAGGAGGAAGCACAGTAACAAATAAAAGTATAATACCGTAGTATTCCTCCAGGAGACTTAACATACCAATGTTACTTTCAAAATTCTCTTAAAATGAAATAGGGTTGAAAACTGATACTGTCCCTTTTATGTCCCTGAGCCATAAAATGCTGTCCACCTCAGTTTGAAATATCTCATTGTAAAAAGAAAGCTTACCTAGCTATCTTATCACTGCAAGACATAGTAAGTAACCTCTCTCCCTGAAGAACTCCATCCCATGTCTGGATCGTAGTTGTAGAACGGACAGGGATTGTTCCTTCTCCAGATTCAATTTTTGTCCGTAGCTGACCTCTTGCTTTCCGGTTTGGGTGTCTATCTCCTTGATCTGAATTATGCAAGCCCCCATAGTTACAAAACAAAGCATACAAGATAAATATTAATTTTAACACAACTATAAAATATATACATATATTATATATATTATTTACTTATTACTTATTATTACTTATTTTATTTATATGGCACCTTTATTATTTTTATAAACAACTAAGGTGGCAAACATACTTGATACTCCTTCCCCCTCCTATTTTTCCCACAACAACCATTCTGTTAGGTTAGTTGGCCTCAGAGAGAGTGACTTGTCCAAGTTCACCCGGTGAGCTTTCATGCCAGAAGGGGACTAGAACTTAAAGTTTCCTGGTTTCTAGCCTGGTACCTTAACCAGGGGTGGGATTCAAATTTTTAACAACCGGTTCTATGGGCATGGCTTAGGTAGTGGGCGTGGCTTGGTGGTCATGTGACTGGGTGGACATGGCTTGGTGGTCATGTTATTGGCTAGGTGTGGCCAACTCAATATCACTCACATCGAGGCACGCATCTCCTCGCTTGGCCTCTCATGACTGTGGGGATGCTGCAACAGTCGTAAGTGTGAAAAATGGTCATAAGTCACTTTTTTCAGTGCCACTGTAACTTTGAATGGTCACTCCACACAAGCAAAGTACCAGCAAAGGAGGGAAAAATAACTCCAGAGAAGTTCCTGAGACAGGAAGTCTAGTCCTGCCAAGAATGTAATAAGGGTTAACAGAGAGGCAGTTTCTGTAAGCAACACCAGAATGTTTCCTTCCTGCCTTCCTTACAGGATTAGGCCAGTAATTTCTTCTAACAACTGGTTCTCCAAACTGCTTAGAATGTTAACAACCGGTTCTAGCGAATAGGTGTGAACTGGTAGAATCCTACCCCTGACCTTAACCACTAAACCAATAATATTAACAATTATTTTTATTTCTTATTTCAGCCAGGAAATTTACAGAACAGAAAAATAACACAAAATATAGTGCAATTAGAAAAGTTATTGTGTGCAATAATAATTTTACCCAGCATTTTATAAACACAAATGTGATAATATTATCTAGTCTTCATTGTTAGCATTTCATGCATTCAAATCAAAGAAACCTTAGGATTTTTTAAACTACCAATAACGTACATATTCCAAAGCAATTTACATACAGAATTAAAGCCACAATAAATAAGCTGCTGCAGGAAGAAATGGATTACACATTATTACTATTCTTTACAATTATTCTATACTGCTATTTACAATAAAATAAATAAAATAAATTCTATACAGAAATAAATTGTGTATTTTGCATGTGTGTTGAATAATTACAATGAATAATTGAATTAATTATAGATTAATTCAGAGTTTTCTTTTTATTTTTTATGAAAGGGCCAAAAGTGGTGTCAGCTTGTTTGTAGTGTTCTGTTTTACATGAAGGAACTTAGTTGATTTTGATTTTAGAAACTAGAACTCCTTTCTTTGGCTTTATCAAAATAATCCCCACCAGAGAACTATTTGTACCTTCCTGGGCAGCTTCATGTGGTGAAAAAATCCGAGCATCACCACAAGGAGAAGTGCTAATATAGAGATGAAACTGCACATTTTCATCCAATTTAAAGCCACCTTGTTCTGACTTGATAAAAATAGATTTTTGCTGGTCTTCCTTATTGCTAAAACAAAGAGAGAAAATATTATTCAGGTTGTGTGGAAGTATATACATCAAACAAAACCTAAAATTTAGCATAATTAGATCAAAGATGTTATGGTACAGTCATATTTATTATAATAAATCAAAGGGACTACTGATAGGATTGTCAATAGAAGTACATTATTCTGCAAATAATTAGGATTTTTTGCTTAAGTAATTTAGCAGCAAACGCTATATTCAGTCATGGATTACATCAAAGGAAATTACAAACAGCTGTTGTTCACTTACAACTTAAGGGAAAAAAATATTTATAAACAAATGGCTGAAATGCAGCCTCCGAAACCAACCAAAGAAAAATCAGAAAGAACATTGACTCATAAAGTTCATGACCAATGTCTATAAATTTCTCTTAACACACCCAATTCAGTACTCACTTCCAATTAGCAAAGTGCAGAAGCACCATCTTATTCACAGCCATTTTCACATTTTTTAGAATATTCATGCCTTGCAATGGACGACACAGAACTCATTATCTTTCTCTTAAAATTATCTTTCTGCACATCTTAAAGTTTCTTGTATTCACCCCTATTAAACATTCTACCACAAAACACACATTCATCTATTTTCTCTATTTTTTCAACATATGTATAATTTCTATTAACTTCATTTTCCACAAGTTGACTCCAATGCTCAGCCATTACATTTTTCAACGTTCTCACAGAATGTATTACTTTATTTTTTTAAAAAAACCTTCCTATTTGCTTTAATTCTTGTCAGGCTCAATCCTAGAGACAACTTTCTAAAGTCCAATCAAGTGCAATACTTTATTTGGACAGAATCTTGCCAAACTAAAGCTATAATTTCTAACCTACTAGATATATCTCGAGAGATTCTAGGGTGTGGTCATCCTGAATCTCTTCCCCATCTGTGGAATCTCTTGGATAGCTCTATGTTGCCAAAACTATTTTGTGAGAAGGAACAAACAATTGAAAGAAATAAAGTTATATGACATTATTTATACAGATTAAATATCAAGATAGCTAAAAATAAAAGGAAGAAACCCAAAGTTGACTTATGTGATGAAGGTTAAAATAGATATGTTGCTTATCTCGGGTAACTCCTAATGGACTCTTGTTAACATCCAGTAATCAACTATGGATCTTCTTCTAAAAGGGATGATCCCCTTCCACAGAGCTATTAAATATATACAGCTCCAAGAGTGGAAACATATGTCCAAAATGTCAACTTGCCTAGTTTGGATTTTGTATCCTTAAATCAGGATTGAAATAACCAGGCTTTATAAATTAGTTTATAGATAAGAGGTGGGATATGAGAAAATGATTTTTTGTATTTTAAGAGATGGCGGTAAGTTACTAAAATTGTTTATAGTGTGATGAAGGGGAAAGTCATTTCTTTATATATTTATTTCCTTTTTCTTTATCATATTCTGGATTTTTTTCCTTATTATTTTTATTTCTTTTCTATGCCTTCTATTTTTTCTTTTGATTCTTTTATTTTAGTCTGCATTAGTTTTTAATTGTAGTAATTGTAAGCCTCATTAAATAATTATGAAAATTATGACCATTGTGGTGTAACTGGGATGTAACCCTAACCCTAACCCTTCAAATTTCTAGGTTCTACTATATCACATGACCTAAAATGGAACCTAACATCAAAAATGTCATCAAAAAAGCACAGCAAAGAATGTTCTTTCTGCGCCAACTCAGAAAGCTCAAACTGCCCAAGGAGCTGCTGTTACAGTTCTACAGAGGAATTATTGAGACTATCATCTGCACCTCTATAACTGTCTGGTTGTTCTGCAACCCAACAGGACAAGACACAGACTTCACAGGATAATTAGGACTGCAGAAACAACAATTGCTACCAACCTGCCTTCAATCAAGTCAAAAAGAGGGCTGTGTACTGCACGAGTCAAAAAGAGGGCTGTGAAAATATTTACAGACCCCTCACATCCCAGACATAAACTGTTTCAACTCCTTCCCTTCGAACAACACTATAGAGCACTGCACATCAGAACAACTAGACACAAGAACAGTTTTTTTCCCCAAAAGTCATCACTCTGCTAAACAAATAATTCCCTCAACACTGTTCAACTATTGCAAAGTCTGCACTACTATTACTGTTAATCTTCTCATCACTCCTTATCACTTACCCCCTCCCACTTGTGACTGTATGACTGTAACTTTTTTGCTTGTATACTTACAATTTATATTGACTGTTTCCTAATATGATTGATTGCTTATTGTACCCTATGACTATCATTAAGTGTCATATCTTATGATTCTCGACTCCCGATGAATGTATCTTTTCTTTTATGTATACTACTGAGAGTATTTGCACCAAGACAAATTCCTTGTGTGTCCAACTACACTTGGCCAATAAAGAATTCTATTCTATTCAAACTGAGGTGTAACCATCTTATAACTTCCTACTTTAATGCTTACCAATAACACTTTATACTACACCAATATATCATTTTGATGTACATTTTAGCCTTTTATTCATAATGATATCTACACTACCACTTCCATTAGGAAATTCATCAATTTTACTCCACAAAAATAGATGCTCCTTCATTCAGATCTTTTATTTTCTTCTCCCACAACACAAATAAATTGCCTTTCTTCCATTCACCTCCCAGATGATTTATTTTTCTCTCTTACATTCCAGGTCACAATCTTCCACATGCCTTACTAATCATCAGACAACCACATCATCATTGACTTCTGCATCATCATTGTACATGCACGATAATGTTTTAATTGAAGTGTTTTTAGTAAATTCAGGAAAGAGAACACCAGAGGAACAGCTTTACAGTACTTGTACAAAATGCACCACATGTATCATTTCATATTAATGATAAGGACGTAATCCTTATTGGTCAATTTGGTCCACATGCCTCTGCTGCTTCCATTTCCCCCCCCTTAACATATCTCTCAACAAAACGAAACCTACAACATACATTGTGTTGGCATAGATTGACTCATCATAAGGCATCCAGTGAGCTTCTGTGGCTGACAGTGGACTTGAACCTGGCTCTCCCCAGGGCTAATGCCAATTCTACACTTTAATTATTATGCCACATTAGCTCTGATTCTATAAGGAAGCTTTAAAAGACTTGCAGTTCTTATGCAATAATTTTGATAGGCAATTGAAGTAAATTGGTAAAACTGGTATTAGTTATTTAAGTGACCTATAGATAAATTTGAATATGCTTTATACCAATGAAAGGCCCATTAAATAATGAGAAATTCAGAATATGCTGTTTATAATGTAAATTTCTGTTTATAACAATTTCCCCTCCCTCTCCATTTTTATTATGATTAAGTTTTAAGTATATTTCTTCAATACTGTATATTCATACTTTCCTTTAATTAGTTTAATACAGTAACACTATAAATAAAGAAAATTAAGAACAAATGATCTGCTTTGGTTATTTTACATTCAAGTTGCTTAAAACCTAAGTTTCTGTTTAACCCAATATTAAAAGCTTTCTATAATTGTTTAAGAGAAGATGTTACTTAAGATGTCAGTCTTGCAGCTGTCTCCATGTCCTATTGACTTATTTGTGCTGGAAATGTAAATGAAGACAATCAATAAAAATGTATTTTCTGCGTAGTACACATCCAGGAAGATATTAATTTTATAGTATGCATTACCAATCTTAATTCTCAAAAATTCTTCATCAGGAGTTCTGCAAAATAAATTCAATAAGAAAACAGACAACCTACCATCCTCCAGCAAGCACAAAAGTCTTCCATCTCATAGGTGAAGATCAGGGAAAACTTTAGCATAAATAGCCTTAACCACCTTATGAAAACTGGGACCAAATTAACTTACAATAGATGTAAGTTCAACAATCGAACACTATCTCTGAATCAACTGGTGATATTACAAAACATACATTATTTCCTCTATAACATTGTTTTGTACTGTGTGGTCCTAGCACCTTGGGCGTTATCAAACTCAAAATTATTTAGAATGTAGAAAATTGACTTGGCAGGGACCTTGGAGGTCTTCTAGTCCAAACCTGTAGTCCAAGCAGAGGATTCTATATCATTTCAGACCATTTGTCACATATAGCTATGACAAATGTCAGTCCATGTTGAAGAATAATGTTATATTAAAGCTTCTAGGCTGTTACAGATAGAATTTTTTTTCCCTTTGGGGACTTAAAATGAGAGATATTGATGTTCATATTTCCTCAGAAGACAAGCGATCATACAATTTGCTTCAAAGTATTTCAGAAACTTTCACATATGATTAGAAGAGTTTTAAAATTTATTTTAACATCTCAAGAGGAAACACATGACATCTTGAGACTCCACCCAACATTTACCAGTGGATCCTTGTCAATTTATGACTGCTGGTGTATATTTCAGTTCCTACATATGTTTTCCCTTAAGCCATTCATTCAGTATTGTTCCTTTATATTATGAATCATTTTAAAATAATGGGGTCTACTTTTACATGAGGACTTTTATATTCTCTCTATCTATAGCTATATAGTATATATATATATATATGAATGTGTGTGTGTGTGTGTGTGTGTGTGTGTGTATAGAGTGTTATTCTAATACAAATAATACAATAGTTTCCTAGAATGTCCATATAATTATGTATTATGGACAGAAAATCTCTTGAGAAGAGCCTCATGCCATAGTCTGTGCAGAGCATGCATTATTTATTTCATTCAATTGATACATTATTATTTATTTATTGTGTTCTGTCGCGGGAAACAGACCTGACTCGAGACCAGTGTGATTTCAGCTCTTTATTCGCTCTCAGTAACTTCAACAAAACCGGGGCCGCGGCAGCCTCTTTTATAGCAGCTGCTCGCGGCTCGCAGCCAATGACAGCTCCTTAAACTTCCCGCCGTCAGGCGGACCAATTATAAAACAGTATTCAGGATAGACCAATCAATAGGCAGCATTAGCAGACCAATCATAATGCAGTATTACAAGTATGCAAATATATAACATATTGAATCCTATCTTTCAGTTAAATTAGCGCTCAGGGCACCTAACATCAGTGGTGGGATTAAAATTTTTTACCACCGGTTCTGTGGGTGTGGCTTGGTGGGCGCGCTTTGCGCGTGCACAGAGAGTTTGCTATTGACAAATCATGCAATCCTGCACTCTCCCTGTGGCTTCAACAGCTGACACGTGGCAATCTGCTGAGCCATGCAAAGCAGCTGAGCTTCTAAACCAGGAAATAAAGGTCAGAATAGAGCCGGGGCAGGCAGGCGGGCCCAGCAGCTGATTGCTGGAGTGAACCAGTTCACTCACAGATGATCCTCGGAGCTACCGGGCCGAACTGGTAGAATACCACCACTGCCTCACAATAGTTACAACTTAAATATCTTAAACAGAAGTTTACAATTAAACATTTAGGGAAAAGATATTACCTATATGACTCCTAACGTAATGTGCCCTCCTCTTGTCCTTCTTGCTGATATTCATGGCTTTGAAAGTTATACTAAAATTTTAAAATGTGTACAATAAGCAACTGGTAATCGTGTACTGATCATTCAGTAACACATTATATTTGTACCTTTAATTGATTAGCAGCCAAACTGATGCATTTTGCACTGACTGCAATTCCCAGAAATTTTAAAGTGTCTTGCATATATACAGCCAAGTATAAATTAATGCTTAAAGATTGAAATTATTTTATAAATTATTGAAAGACTGAAGACTCCCTCACCTGTCTAACAGCAATCTCCTAAAAATCTACAGAATACTGCTCCATTAAAACTGATAGTAATACAAAATGAATTCCTATCTGTGTTATCTCAGAGATGGAAAGAAGCATTAGTTGAATTGCCATTATCAGAAAGTATCAGATCAAACCATTTTTTCCACAATTAGGTCTTAGCATCTTATGAGGTGTACTATGCCCTCATAGAAATTTATATTATCACAATATTCTGTGATCCTATCCACAGTGTAATTGATCGAACCTCCCTCTGTAGCATAAAAGTGCTTTGAGCTTACCTTAAATGTAGTTCAAGTTGTGTATAAAGAAATTTAAGTAGGCATCTCCTAGCTATAATTTCTGCATGGCAATCATTCAAAGCAAGACCACGGTCACTCATATATTCTCCATTAATACATTTTGTTCCTGTGGAAACACTTATAACCTGAGCGTCTTTCACATCAGTACCTGTAAAATCAATTTCAGGAGAAAAGATTTACAGAAAGTTTTTTTCCCCCTCCAGCCATCTTAAACAGGTAGCCTAATGGACACTATCTAATAAAAATAATTTAATAATTAATTATTTAAATAATTAAGTTAATTTTAAACTCGAAACAATTCTGAACTCATAGATATCACAGATATCTGCAGATGAATGCACAGATATTTCTATATGGATTGCCTTTCCAATTTTGGAATCATATTAAATTGAGCAAATTATTAATTTGCATAGTCTGGATTTTATACATTATATTGTCAAACCATATAGCTATGTGCATTTCTGGGATGGACTGAAAATATCCATACAATTAAGTCATTACTAGACTCAGATTACATGCAACACTGATCAAGCTAATGATTTAAACTATACATAACAGATATAGTGGGGCTAGGTGAAAGTTTGTGCATTTCAGAGAAAAAAATATTTAGCTTCCAAACTCGCAATCTCACTCTTTGTTCCATCTGAGTTCTAACAATTAAACTATGCATTGAATTTTTTATGCAATTCAGGATAGTAGATTTGATTGTCTATGAGCAACAATTTAACTGGGAGTATTTTTATCACCATTTTATTTACATATTTTAATCAATGTTATTAAAAATAAATATATGTGTTCATTATAATTGTTAATTAACTGAAATATATATGGGCAACTTTCCAGGAGTCAGAGAATTTAAGAGCATTACTGATTCCTTTTCTCTGCCTTGTTCAATTTTTTCTCTCTCACAATATATAATTTATTTCACTAGTACTTTTAGTACTGAATATATCATGGATAAAATATGCATGATTATAACATATTAACAAGTGTCAATGATTCATTTAAGCTATACTGTAATGATTTAAATGATTCATTTAAACTGCCAAAGATTCATTTAAGCTATACTGTATATTTAATAGTAATGCTGTTGTTAAATTTTTATTATGTTAAATTTGGGATAATATAATATTTGATTATTATAAATAGCTACTTCATTTATATGATTAAGCAAAAGATAAAAAGGGCTTTAAAAATAAAAATTAAAAGAATGATTTGCATACATATGTACACATGGCCAATAATGGTTAATATTAAAATATAACATTCCAATTAAATATGAATTACTAATTATAATTTTTGGCATGAAGAAATTTCACATTATTAAATATGGGAAAGAAAGGGCAAATATCTATTTACCTTGATCACTTTATTTTGTACACAAACAAGGGGATAAAGTACCCAGTTGTATGGCAGGTTGGTCTTGTTTTGTTTTTACCTGTTGTCATGACAATACCGGCGAGCACTTTTCTACGTGCATGAGGTGATGTAAAGTTATCTGTCAAATCGCTGAATTTCTCTACGACCAAGCGTGCAACAGCATCAGCTAAAACCTGCAAAAATCATATTGGTATGTTGGACAGTTCAGAAATACAAATCTATTTCTTACTTAAAAATGAACATTAAAAACCTGCCCTTACAATGTTACAATCAATTTATCCATTTGCATTGCGTTATCATACTATGTTCTATGGCATCCCTTAGAATGGAACAGATAATCAGAAACTGGAAGGATGACTCAGATATACTGTAAAATTAAAAAGAATTAAAAAAAAGAATGACTACGGATTACATATATATTTGGCTAGAAAATCATAAAAGTATAAAAACTGACTTAGAGGAAAATTCTGCTTCAGTGAGGACAGTCTTATATCATACAATTGAAGTCATTCATTATTATTTTTATCAAAACCACAAAAAGTTTGTAAAGTATTTCAAATATCTTAAGAATAAAAGATTCTGTTACAAGTATCAAATGAAGAGTTTTAAAATTATCACAATAAACTATTGACTGGAGGGGATAACTATGAAATACACATTGAATATAAACAATAAATGCTGAACATGGAAGGAAATAAAATAACATGAAAAATGACAGTTATTTGGTTAGTTACTAGCCAGATCTTTCTGTTGCTGAACAAATCCAGAATTGGCCTGTTCAAACATAACACTATTTAAATAGGAGGTCAAACAATAAGGAAAGAGAGCTTCTAAATTATTTTACCAACTGCTGCCTAATAACTCCCAGAATATAGATAAGAAATATTACAAATTCTCGCTCGGAGGGCGGAGCTGGAGTCGCGACGATATGGCATGCGATCTTGAAGATTCAAGATCGCCGCCGATATCTTTGCTCCTGGACGGTCCAAACGGATCTAAACCGTCCCGAAGAGATGGTGAATGTAAAGAGCGCATCCTGTCAATCCCAGGGATACCACAAAGTCCCTGGTAGATCCAGGAGAAGCTCTTTTTGCCAGCGGCAAAGAGGCAGCCATTAAAGCTGCTGAAGTTGGGACAGCTCTGAAACGGAAGAGAATGGAAAGAGAAAGTGTGCTGGTTTGGTGAGAGTTTTCCTTTATTTTAAGACTTGAAAGAACACCCTAAGGAAAAGAAAGAATTTGTAAAATCTAAGACAAAAGTGATTAAGCGGCGATTTTAAACAGGAAGTCAAAATTAATATTTCTTTTTTTATTGCTGGACTTTTAACGTACGATTTTTTTACTTTGAAACTGGACTGGTTTTCTTTTTTACCTTACTTTTTCTTTTTTGTCTTTTTTCATTTTTTGTCTTTATAATATTTTAGGCTAGAGATTCCCTTTCAGCTTTTTTTTTTTCTTTTAAGTCTTTTCTTCATTTTTAATTAATTTTTTTATTACATTTTGTTTGGAAAAGGAGGGGGAAAGTGAAAGTAGAGGAAAATTTGTAACACTGCCAACTAGAGGCTTAGAAATATTGTTTCCTTTCCTTCGACCAGACAAAGCTGAGAAAGAACTGAGGTTTCTTTTCAAGGACTTTGAGCCTGTTTGATAAGATAGAGGGAAGAGCACAGAGTGTTATTGCAGGTGCTTCTCTGGGTTTCTATCAGTGGCTGGAGTCTGGTGTTGAAACTTATAGAAAGAAGACGATAAGACTCTAGAGAAGAGAGTTATAAAATTGTTTGGAATTTAACAAAAAGCCTTGGATAATTAAATAGGTGCAGTGTGTTCCTTCTCTCTCTCTTTTTTTTTACGTTGGGCTATTCTCTACTTTAACAAACCCCCTCCTTATTAGTCTACTATTTTTGATAGTTATTTGGACCTTTGGCCTTTTGTAATTTATTTTTTTTTTTTGCTTTTGGAGTCTATTTTTTATTTTTGCATCTTATTTTAAAGGGAAAACCTTAGTATTAATTTTTTATTTTTATTTTTAAGGGAGTAATCTTTTTTCCCTTTTTTTCTCTCCCTTCCCATCTCTTTATTCACCTCCTATATTGGTATTTTTTGTGGCTCTTTTTTTTTTTCCTTTTTATACTCGAGACTTTTTAATTGGATTAAGGTGTTGAAGAACCTGAAGAACTTTATTTCTTTTTTTTTTTTTTTTTTTGCCACCCACAATACTTAACAATTTTTCCTTTTTCTGTTTATGGGTTTTTCTTCTTTTTTTGGGGGGGGGTGTTCCTGCTATTTAACCAATTGATTGGATTAAGGTGTACAAGAACCTGAAAAAACTTTTCTTTTATTCTGCTTTCTTTTTACTTCACTATTTTTACTTTTATTACAACTGGTCATTACATGAGCGGATTAAGGTCTAGAAGAACCTGAAGATTTTGAATTGTTTGAAATGAGTAGGAAACTAACAGCAGCTGGTTCTTCAATTCCTATTTCTTCCTCTTCACCATCTGGAGGAAAATGCTCAATACAGACGATGTTACAACAAGAAAAAGAACAGGAAAAGGTGACGCTGCAGAAGATAATGCAAGGAATTCAGAACATACAAACAAGAACAGAGAATATTGAAAAGAGAACAGAGAAAACTGATGAAAAGGTGCAGAATATTCAACAAATGATGATGAAGTATGATGAGAGATTGCAAAAAATTGAAGAAGATAAACAAAGAGATAAGAAGATTGGAGATATTGATGGCAGATTAACTGTGGTTGAACAAGATAAAAGTGGGATGCTGGGATGGGAGATGGACAGATCAGAATTTTATCTTAGATTCCAAAACATAGAGGAAGAAAAGGGACAAAACTTGGCAGAGATAATGATAGAAATCTTGGCTGAAGCTCTGGAAATAACTAAAGAGAAGATGATGGATGGAATAGATGAGGTTTTTCGAGATTTCACAAGGTATGCAATGAGAAATAGTTTACCAAGAGAAGTTCAACATTAGATTTACAAAGAAAGCTATTAAAACGCAAATATTGCAGGTGGCAAGAGAGAAAACATTGAAATATAAAATAAGGAGATTGTGGTTCTGAAACAAGTACCCAGAAGAGCGAGAGAGATGAGAAGAGAGTATCGATTCTTGACTAAAATACTGCTCAAAAAAGATAGTTGATACCAGAAGGTTTAATGTCTACATGGCAGGAACAGAGACACAGAATTGACTCAATTGAGAAAGCAGAATTATTTTATACAGAATACTTTGGAGGGAAAGAGGAGGAGACAGAAAAAGAAATGTCATTAATTGAATTCCAAGAGGACTGTCAAGCAGCGATTGAAAAAGAAGAAGGTGCAGTAGGCAGAAAGGTGGAAGCTAGAGAACAACGAGAACCAAGATCAACTAGAGATGCAAAACCTACTTATAAAGTATAATCATGGAAAAGAAAAAAATGATTACAATTAATATAAATGGACTTAATTCAGCTGTTAAAAGAAGGAAAACTTTCCATAAATTAAAGAAATTAAAATTTGATATAATCTGCCTACAAGAAGTACATATTAAAAAGCAATATGAACAACTGTTGATACAGCCAAAGCTAGGGAAAATATTTACTTCTTTGACACAATGCAAGAAAAGAGGAGTGGTCTTATACATCAAAGATACTATTCCAGCAAAATTGATCCATACGGATGATGATGGAACACTCTTAATGGTGGAAATAATGGACAACAATATGAAAACACTCCTGATAGCAATCTATGCGCCAAATGAAAATCAAGAAGAAATTTATGGAAAATTACACATGAAAATAATTGAACTGGACTATGTTAATATGTGTATGACTTCAATGGAATAGTAGACAATAAATTGGACTATACAACACAGAAAACAACAAAGCAAAGCAGAAAGACTCTCCCTAGATCCTTTTTTTAAAATGATAGATGAAATAAATTTAAAAGATGCATTTATTTCTTTAGGCCCCATAATATTTGAAGGAGCACTTCCTGTATATACATACTTCCCCATTGGTGACTCTACTCAATGTGTCTTTACATAGATAGGAACTTGGGAGCAACTTTCTGATATATACCTTTTCCACCTCAACCTTTACAGTGTGTCTCCCAAAGGCGTGCTGTCTACCACACTCTTATTATTTTTTTCTATCAGTTAGAAAATTCTTTCAGAACTTTGGTTTTCCTTTGCCATTATGCTTAAGGTTTTACATATTTCTGATATTTTATTTTTATTATTTTTAATTCTAATGCTTTAATATCACTGTTTATACTTTATTTATTTAGGCTAAATTGTATCTCATTCTTAGACATTCAATAAACAAGTAACACATTTTACAAACAAATTAAATTAAATCTATGAGCAAAAATCTATGAGGAAAACTGCACTGAAGTAGAATATAGACATTTGTTCCCTGCCTCAAAAGTCTCATGAAGGTTTAGCAAAACAAAAAGACAGTGGTGATATCTCCAATGGTTCAGAAAGCTCTTGGTTCAGCATTCCAGGATTGTTGGCCTTACCTCTACAATCAGCGGTGGCCATGTAGTACTAAGCTCAGAGTTATTACAGAAACAATGAGAACAACTATTGTTTGTAAAATTATACAGAGGACTGCCATTTATAGCAATATTGGACTATAACACCCAAGGGATTCGAATGTCCCAAAAATCTAATATGTCTAGGAACAGAGACAGGGCAGTTTTACCTCCTAAATAGACAATGAACATTTGACCTGGTGATAGTACAAGCAGTGTCCTTCATTATTACCATGTGCAGTCAGGGAAACAATTGTTTGAGAGCTATTCTTTATTTATAGAAATAGCAGACATTCACATCTATGAGGAAAAAAGATGCAGTAGGTGACTGAATACCAGTATTGGTAGCAGCATACAAAGTGAAATGCTTTTAAGGAAGCAACTACTACCACTTAGATGAGTCATCTCCAGTCTTGCCTATCCACAAGCAGTTACATGCTTTACCAATTGATTTTGGCAAGGCATTATTAGGTTATACAAATTACCATGGCTTTCTGGCAAACAACATTGGTATGATGTTTGCTCGTAATGACAAAACAGTGTTATAATAGCAGTCTCACCCTATCTTAAACATGTTTCACTTTACACAAAAATAGAATTGATCAAATCATACCTAAGGCTCAGGATTACTATGCCTATTTTCTTAGCAATATAAAATATTCTCAGGAATAAAAAAATATAACTTTTCCTCAGCAATAAACACAATATATAATTAAGAGACCTGGAAGAAATATATTAGTAGTATACAGGAATGTTATGGCTTTCTGGATATGTTTAATTGGAATTATAATAAAAGCAATCCTAGGACTGTAAACATTTGTATCTTTCTTCTCACCTGTGGCAAGTGTAACTGGAGGCCCTCGCTAGGAATAGGTTGGTGAGATGGTGTTTGGTCCAGCTGCAAATTAAACAAAGATGCGAGAGCTGACTGAGCTGCCCGAGCCTTTGCCAGTTTTTTGTTCCGTCCAGATCCTTCAAACGTTTGGCCATCCACTGACACAGCCATTACAAAATTCTTGGCGTGACTCTCTCCACTTTCTGAAATAAATTCATACTTTAACCCTGGTCGAAGTTCATTTAGTATCATCACTGGATTCTTCCCACTGGTTGATGCGTATGGTGATGGGGTAGGGAGAGATGACTGGATAAAACTACTGGTCACAACGGATGAGAGGCTGAAATCTGCACTAGAGGTAAAGGAACCATCTCCATTGGATTCCAAGTAAAAGGAATGGTCAGACTGAACTGGATTTTCAAACCCATTGAAGAGGGTGTCTGAGAAATCGGCCTGGTCAGAAGTAAAGTCTGTGTTTATTGAAAGAGTTCTACCCATTGCTAGATGAGCTTCTGAGGCGTTAGGAAATTGAACAAAGGACCTCAGAGCTTTCTCAGCTGCATGGAGTTTCGCTTTCTTTTTGGTGGGGCCAGACCCTTCAAAGAGCTGCCCATTAACTTCTACCGCCATCACAAAAATTGGAGCATGAACTGGTCCGGTTTGGGAGATGAGCTTGTACTGTAAGCCAGGCTTGATTTCATTCAGCTGCATCAGGGCATTCTTGGGCAGCACTGGACCTGGAGTTTTCTTTTTCTTCTTTGGGCGGAACTTGGAATGGCCATTACTTCCCTCGTCCAACAGCCGCTTCCTGCTGCTAGTGCCTCCACCATTAGGGAGCTGATTCCCCTCCCCAGCACCTTGCAGAGTCCCATCTTTAGGTGGAATGTTGTCCATGTTGCGGTTCTCTTTAATATCAGTGCTGCCTGAACCTGTGGTGCCCAGAAAGAGTAACTTACAATGCCTTCGTTGCAGGACCTTGTAAATGTAAAATTTAGAGATTCCTTTATCTACCTTTGCAACTGGTTAAGTGATGTGTGCTCAAATATTATTATTATTATTCATACACAAATTATTTAAACATTTTTGTGCTGACAAATAATTTTCATTCTACAAGCAGAGAAGCTATTAAAATATCAACAATCAAGATGAATATATTACCCAGAATTTTATATTTGTTTCAGACAATTCCAATTAGGCTTGGAAAAGATTACTTTGAAGATTTAAATAAAATTGTGTTGAAATATATATGGCAGGGTAAGAAAGCGAGAATAAAACTAAACTCTTGCAAGAAGCTAGAATAAGAGGAGGATTTGGTTTGCCTAATTGGGAGTTGTACTACCAATCTACAAATCTGACGTGGGTTAAGGAATGGATAACACTAAGAAATACTAGATTGTTGACATTAGAAGGACATGATCTGTTGTTGTGGTGGCATGCCTTCCTATGGTACAAAGGAACTAAAACACAGGGGTACTTTAGAAGACATTATTTACGGGAGGCTCTGTGGTTAAATTGGGAGAAGACTAAAAGGCAATGTTATTTGAAAATTCCAGACTGGCTATCGACTATTGAAGCATTTTCTTATCCTATAATATATAAAAAGGAACAAACAGTTAGATATAGCGAAATATTGAATGAGAAGGGTGAACTTAAATCTACGGAAAAACTAGAGCAACAAGGTATAAACAGAAATTGGTTTTCATATGCGCAAATACATTCTAGATATGATAAAGATTTTAAAACAGAAGGTTTCTATGATAAATTGACTGATTTAGATAAAATCTTGACAGGTACTGATGAAAAGGTGATTAAAAATTGTATGGATATTTATTAGAAATTAAGCTATAAGAAGAACAAGTCAAAGAAACAATGATTGCTTGGGGGAAAAATTTTGGATATGGGATTGATTTAGAGAAATGGCAAAAATTGTGGTCTCAAAATTATAAAATAACAATGTCAACAGCATATAAAGAAAATTTGTATAAGATGTGTTACAGGTGGCATCTACCCCTAACAAGAACAGCAAGAATGTTCAAGAACAAATCTGAAAAATGTTGGAAATGTCATCAGATACCTGGCTCATATTACCATATGTGGTGGATGTGCGCGGATGCTAAAAGATTTTGGACTAAAATCCACACATGGTTGGAAAAAATGACAAAAAAACATACAGACTTGAAACCAGAGATATTTTTATTGGGAATTTTATCCGAAATATACAGTAAGGAATTGAAATATTTGATTGTAAATGTATTAACAGCGGCTAGGATTGTATTTGCTAAAAATTGGAAAAATGAGAAAATACCAACGCAGGAGGAAGTTATTAAGAAAATAATGGAATGTGCTGAAATGAGTAGATTGACATTTGAAAACAGAGAACAAGAAGATAAACAATTTTATAAGATTTGGGATTTATTTTATCAATGGTTAGACAATAAAACATGGTAATGAAATATGTAGCTTTTTAGAATATAAAGAATATATAAAGATGTATTATTTTAATCATAATCATAATATAATTATGGGATAGATTTGGGATGATAATATGTCAGAAAATAAATCAATTAAAATATGGATTATCTTGCAAAACATGAATGAATAATAGTATAGTCAAATGATTGATTAATAATGATATCAATGTATTTAGGAATATTTGACAGATAATATGAGAACATATACAAGTAATTGTAAGTGATGACTATGAAGTAGATGCGCAAAACAATTTGTAAACCAACCGACACACTCTATGTACATATGTGGAAGATGGCTTGATGTTTTTATGTTGTGTTTGTCTATGTTTGTCAAAAAAAAAAAACTTTTTCAAAACAAATTCTCCATTTTTTAACCATTCAAATAATCTCCCCTTTTAAAACAACACAATATTATTAATTGTCAAAAGGAAAAACATTGGTAATTTACTGCTGAATTTGTTAAAACAAATACCATGTTTCTCACAAAATAAGGCTGGGCCTTTTTTTTTTTTTTTTTTTTGAGCCCCGAAAAAATGGCTAGGATGTCTTTTTGGGGTGAATTAATTTCTCCCCCTCCCCCACACACCAGCGTCGTCTCAAACAACAGCATCTGAGTCGCTCCCGCTTTCCCCCCGTCCCCGTAACAACAGGGAAAAATGCACCTAAGGGGGAAGGGCAGAGTCAGTCCGGGCAAGGCTTTTCAAGATTAGAAAGACTTGCAGACAGGGAGAAGCAGGAGAGACAGAGCTCAGGCAAAGAGCAAGGACCGCCCTCTCCTGATCCTAGAGTATGGGGAGAAGAGAGAAGGCAAGACCAAAGCAGATTGAGCCAACTACGAGGGTGGAGAGTGCTTCGCCCCCCTTCACAAGGCATACCAGGGGACTGAGATGTAAGGTGGTGCTGGTGGGAGGGGCATTTGTCAGGAACAAGTGTTGAATCTGTGGAGCCTTGTGTGCACTTGCCGACGCCTGGAGATTACTGTGCTCTGTCTTGTGAAGCTTGCCTGATTTGCCTGGCTTACTGGACTTCTAGCCCTGGCTACTGTTTGGCTAACCTGGCTTACTGGACTACTCACAGCCGGAGGCTGCTGAAGGTGCGTGTGAGAGCTTCGCTCCAGGACTTTCAGTAAATGTGGGGACGTTTGGGGGCAAAGTTGGAGCAATAAAGGGGAGTTAGACCTCTTCTCTGGCTATATATATTAATGTAGACAGTAATCTGTGATTTTAAAAAAATGCTTTCTATGTTATTATTCTTTTGTTAAATCAAGGCCTTAATTATAACCCAGTAATTCATTGCCTTTTTAAAAAAATAGACACCACATTTTTAATTCAACATAGCAAAATGCTGCAAGGAATTCAGTGAAAAGTAATATTCTGTTTTGCTGGAGAAAAATATTCTAAAGACAGAAGTTTTTAAATGCCTGCTATACATGCAAACTATTGTGGAATCATAACTGTCTTTCAAAATTTGATCTCCTGGATAACATATTTAAATTTGTTTAAACCTAGCAATTAAAAACATGCACACACCACTTCACCTAGTTGACAAAGCTGATGGAATGGCTATTAAATTTTCATTTATAACATCCTCCAACAAAAGCTTGATAGGTTACTCCTTTCGGTGCTCAAAAGAACAGAAAATTAGAAGAAGTTGGATAGAAAGAGATTGGTAAAACATACAAGTTAAAAAGCAAGAAATAATACTTTTACAATAAAGACAAATAAAATAAAAGCTACAATAGTTTTGCATTTCTAAGAACTATTTTCTTTGTAAATGTTTCACCATATCCTATTTCCTGTATTTTATCTCAAGAGACAATTTGATAGAAGATAGTATTCAGATAAAACACATTTAGAGCATTATATTTATATGATGTAATTTGAAGGCTGTACATGTTTAGAACATTTTTATCCCATTAAAAATTATAATCAAATAGTTTTGAAAGTTTCAGATTGTTTCAAGCTGGACCTTTGAATATGTGAGTTTGATTATCGCTGGACCAAAGGAACGTTTTTACCTTCAACCTTTTGAGTTGTTTCCAAGTCTATTAGAAAATATTTTTGAATTTGCTTTGTATTAAGTTGAATAATAAATATGTATGCCCATAGACTCTTTAAAATAAATGAGAGATTAATTATTTTTTCAGCATTTCTATAACAGCCAGTATTTAAGTTCATTTTCATTTAATACAGAGCAGGAATCCAGGAATAGCTCGGCAAAATGAGGCCAAGTCATTCAGCAAGATCCATCATGGTATAGCCCACCCATTCTGAATGTGTAGAGTGAGGCTGCATGCACTTTCAAAGGGGAGGGAACTTTTCAGCTCAATATAGCACAATGCCTAGACAAGGAAGGATTTGATATGTCCTTCCACTTCAGTAGATTCTAACTACACATGTAAATACCTAAATATATATTTTGCATGAATAATCAGAAGCAAATACACTGATTTCAGTGCAAATTGTTCCCATCTATAAAAGCATAGATCACAGGGAGACCCAGTCAGTTAGTCATTATGAACTATTTTTGCAATCTGATTCTATAAACACAATGATAACATCACAGATTTCTGAGGTTTTCCTGTTTAGAAAATCATTCTTATTTATGAACAAATGCTTTCCTAAAAAATGTAAATATTGCAATAATAAATCTGGATTTTTTTTATTGTACTGCTCCTCCTTTTATCTCTTATGTATTGGAATTGATAAATTAATATTCTTTCCCAAAGAAATGTTTTTGAGAATTCATGTTTCAAATCCTGCTCAATACTAAAAGCTTTAGGTCTTTCAATACTTTTTTTTAAAATTTCAGCACATTTGCATTTTTCCAATATTGTCAGTACAGATTTGATACATTTAAAATATTTATTTTCCCATCAATCACTGTTTGGGCCTTAAATAATTATTAATAATATCAATAAATCAATTACCAATATTTTGCTCTGAATTATTTTACACTCCAGGAAACTGCCCCTTATCCTTAAACGCTGTCACTATATCTTACTGCATATAACAAACATTAATTCATATTGCTGTAAGTCATAGTAAACATTAGAATATAATTAGAAAATATAACTAAATAAGAATCTACTCTGCTGGTATAATTATTTTTACCAAAGTGGACAATAGTAACAACATCATTATAGAAGTTAATTGTAAAAACAGCAATAGGTTTTTGTAAATTGTCATTGTAAAATAGCAATAGCTATTTTAAAGGTTTAAAAAAAGGAAATTGTGTTGAAATACAAACCTTATTTAGCCTCCAAAAGTCTTTTTTTGCTTTCCAGTATTTTAAGACTTATTTGCAACCCCCTTCTCTCAATATTGAATGAGACATTTTCATACAGGGAATTTTAACAGATAAGTTTAAACCCACAAATATAGTTTACCATTTTTCTCTAACATAGAAAGATCTAATGATATATAATCGAACAAAAGAAATTCAGTGTCAATACTTAAACCAAGACATATATACACACATACAAAAAATGGAAAACCTAGTGGTATCATGAACCAATTGAAAATATATATGATTCTGGTAATACGATCTCTGTCTTTATAAATCTTGTGATTTTGCAACTTTTGTCAAGTGAAAGTCATATTTACAGAACAATAGCAATCAGTTAAAATATAGTATTTAACACTATAATCTAAAAGAAATATATTTAATATTTATTTTGGCATGTCAAAAATAAAATACAAAACTCATGACACAAACACAGTACGCAGAAAATTCACTTTTTAAAATAAAAATGAAAATATACATTAAATTTTGCATGCAATGGACAGGATGTTGGAGAGCTATTTAGGTAGCTTCTATTTTTTATGATATAATGTAAAACTGAAAGTTCCTTTTATATGACATGCACCACCCAACCTAAGGGCATGGAACTAGTAGGATCATTCTGTTCACTCCCATTCAGCCCACATATAGTCTAAAAGTTTCTTTTTTGTGGGCCTCAGAGCTTGGGAGAATCTGCTCCTTACTGAGGCAGGAAATAAAATCTAGAGCCTCAGATATTTTTTCTAGAAGCAGAAAAGAGTCTGTTTCTGATTCTGGAAGGCAAAGCTCACCTAACCTAGAATATACATATGCATAAAAGGGGTAGGGTTTAGATCCGAAGACCAAGTTCATCTCTTTGCAGATTTTGACCCCACATCTGGTTGTTGTTGGCTTACTGCAAGCTACCTAGATCTCTGTAATAAAAATTAGTAGGTGAGACAGGATGCCCTTTGTAACAACGATTCCAAATAAGTGATGTTGAAATTTAAAATATATTGAAGAATCTTCTTGTAAGAATTTTTCTCAAAAAGTTTTATTTTTTTCTCAGATGTACACGGATTAAATATGGAAACAGGGATACCACAGCTGCAGTTATTTCACATCTCTGCAGAAAGGAAAATGCTAGCTAAATCCCTGAACAAAAGACTACTGTAATCATAATTTCTACAACAAGCTATGTGAAATCTTTAGATAAAAATGACTGAAACGGTTTTTAAAAATCATAAGACTATGGTAACCATATGATGATGATTATATAAATAAAATATAATCATGATTATCATAATTATTGTATGATAATCAGATGACTTTGAATGTAATAGATTAACAAAAATGTTGCTAGTTTCACAGAAATAAATCTGATCTACAACTTTTCATATTCATATTATGTTTGTCTAGAAAGGGTAAAACTGGTTTTAAAAACTAGAAGAAACAGAAAACCTGGTACAGCAAAGTTTAAATAAATAAATATATTATGCATATAATTTGATCACGAGTAAGAGCATAACTGAATGCATGCCTACTTATTAGCTCAAAGAGTTCAATATGAAATATCCTTTAATAGTTAATAGAGTTCCTCCTTGAGGGAGATGGGAGATCTAGAAATAGGTAAAGGTATAAGTTTCCATTATCCAGTTGTATCCAACTCTAGGGTGTGGTGCTCATCTTTATTTCTTATGTCGAGGGAGTCAGCATTGCCCAAAGACATTTTCTGTGGTCATGTGGCCAGCATGGCTATACGCCAAAGGCACATGGAATACTGTCATCTTCCCATCGAAGTGATACCTATTAATCTACTTGTATTTGCATGCTTTCAAACTGCTTGCAAGAGCTGGGGAAGGAACAGGAGTTCACCCCATTCTATGGCATTCGGGTCTCGAACCCAGGCTGTCAGCTTTCCAGCTGACAAGTTCAGCATCTTTAACCGTTGAGTCATCATGCTCCTGGTCTAGAAAAATGAAATATAACTAACTAAATAAATAAATACTGGTAAGCTAACGAAGTTAACCAAATTCAAGAGAAAATTCAACTGACAATTGTCAGTTAGTATGTATTCTATAAATTCATTCAAACCAAAGCAACTAAATCTTTAGTGAAGTAAATAGATCACATATTCAATGGTACTAATGTACACTTCAGAGACTGCCCCTTATGTTTAAATGCTGACACTGTATCTTACTTCATACAACAAAAAATTGGAAAAATCCTTCTCATTTCATTAAAAATCTGAAAGTAAGTTTTCTCTCTATGAAAGGAGATTTCACAGAAATACCCTGCAGAAGCTATACTGAGTAGACCTTACTCATATTTTCTTCATCATCTATGTTCATCATGAAATAGTTGTTCAGGCTTCTACACTGGTGCAGATGGCTTTTTCCTGAAAGATAAAACAAAATAATTTTAGCATGCTTTAGTAAATAATATTTGGTATTATTAGCATGAATATTTAAATATTTATTACAATATATATTATATAGCACTGTGTTTCATATAAATGTTTACATTCATAGAAATTGCATTCTAATACTTACTGATAATTGGAATTATCCCAGATGTGTATGTTTTTTAATTTAAAATCCAGGTCTGTTTTTAAGTAACTTTAAACAAGGTATTCTTTTATTTTACTTTATACTATTGACTTATTTAAAAACCCAATTGGTTAAGTGTCTAGATTTCCCCTTTAAATCCTTACAGTAAGTCTTTGACAAGGATAAAAGTGAATCAAGATCATTCTGCCTGACTGAACATACCTCAATCACCTTCTATCCTTGCCTTCAGAAGTTGTGGGAGCTTTGGGACTTCCGGTTTGAGCTTCTTCGGCGACAGACCAAAACCTCGTCTCTGCGAGGCTTCAATCCGTGCTCGCCGCTGGAGCGCCCCGAGCCGGCTGGTTTCAGGGCTAAGCCACCCCATAGAGGTGGTGAAGAAGGGGGAGACTGCCTGCAGGGTTGAGGAGAGCCGCATCTCTCCTCCCCAGCTGGCCATTACTCCCTTTCCCGAAGGCGGTTGTAGCGGTGGTCAGAAATGGCCACCACAAAGAAGAACTCGACCGGAAAAGAATATGCAGGAGGAAGATAAGAAGAGAAAGTTTTGGTTGACCGGGTCAAACAGCAAAAGCAACAAATAAGGTACCCTGGAATTGAAACTATTAAAAAAAAACAATAACATTGTTCCCTAAGAAGATTTTTAAGCTGCGAAGGAGAGAGAAAAGGGAAAAGATTTGGTGTTTTTTTTTCTCCTTTTCCTATACTGACAGCTAAGAGACTTAAGCAAGAAATTGGGGAAAAAATCCACTTTGACATTAATAGGCATTTAATGCTGAAAATAAAAAGTCAAAGGGATAATAAAGATTTCTGGATAATCAAAAGCTTTTGAAAACAGGAAAGGAGAGAAAAAGAATAAAAGGGCAGGATCTGGAAGGGAGGAGACTGCCTGGAATTAAAAAGCACTTACAGCAAAATCTCAACAAGACTTCCAAAAGATACATTTTAAATGAAATATCGCAACAAAAACCCCAGGAAGAGAAAGTGGAAAAAGAAATAAGAAGAAATAACTTGGGACTATTTGGATTACTTGATGATTTCTGGATGTTTGATTATTGTATTTGAATGACTAAAATCAATTGGGTGGTTGTTTAAAACTGTTTAAAATGGCTCCACTTTTAGAAGAACTCAAAATGGAACTTAAAAAGTACAAAGAAGATGCACAAGAAGGGAGGGGTGCTTTTGGCTTCGTATTTCAGTTTTTAGAAATGGAGATTTGGAATTATGAGAAACAACAAGAAATACCTGCAGAACAAGAAGATTGCGACAAAGAAGAAGCCATCTTTAATGAATAAGTAATCTTAGGTGGGGGGAAAAAGGAAAGGGGGGAAAGAGAATGGAAAGTTTAAGATTGGGAAAAACAACTCCAAAAAAAATAGAGTGAAAAATATGTATAAAATCAGAAAGCAACAGAAGAGGGAAATGCAGAAGAGAGAATTAGAAGTCGAGAGACAAGGGGGTAAAAAGGGGAGGGAGAAGATGAAAGGGAAGAAAGAAAGGAAAAGAAATTATAAAGGACAGAAACAAAATATAGAGAAACAGGGCCTATTTAGAGATAATGAGTGAAAATTTCATGGAAAAAGGGATTCTGCAAAGGTACATAGGATAGTATTGTTATATTAGAAACAGAAATAATTTTAGAAAATATGAAACAATGTATGATTAAAATGTTTGATAAAATAGCTATCGTAATTCAGTGGGATGCTTGTCAATAAATAAATGTAACAAAATGAATATTTAATGATTTACAAAACATATGTGAAGAGAAATAAGAGAAAAATTAATTATGGAGATTATATGTGTCTTTAAGGAAGTATGATATTTAACTGAAAAGAAGTGTTAAGGATGTTAAGATTTTAATGATTATTAATGATAGAACTGAATTGGAATGGAATGGGGGTTTATAATTACATATATTTATAATCTTTTTTTTTAAGAATATAGTGTGTATTATAGAATGTACCAAGCAGAATTCGATTGGAAGTTATGTATTATGTATTATATTGAAGGTCATAACCTTAAGGTATATATTGAAGTTTAAATAAGAGTTGAATGGATGTAATTAAAAGATATAAAGGTGTCATCCTCCAATTAGTAACTACAGGAGAAAATTTGTTTAATGAGAAAAGTTAATATGAAATTAAAACAGAACAGACAAAAGTATAAATATAATGATTTGAATTGAGATGAGATAATCAAAATAAAATTGAGAAAATTAAAAGGGGAAAAACGATATAGAAAATGTAGAATAGTATAAGATGGAATAGAACACAAAAAGGAGCATGAAATTGAGTTTTGTGTCTGTATAAAGAAGTTCAACCCGGAACCATGCTATTTTCAAAAAAGATGTTTTACTTGTATTTTGTATGTGTGAAAACCCAAATAAAACATTATTTTAAAAAAAGAAGTTGTGGGAGCTTCATCACTGGTAGCTTTCAAGAAGAGACTGGACTGCCATCTGTCAGAAATGGTGTAGGTAGGGTCTCCTGCTTGGGCGGGGTGGAGGGTTGGACTAGATGACCTAAAAGATCCCTTCCAACTCTGTTAATCTGTTACTTATCTATTATTTATTTATCCTCTAATTACAAAGCAGATAATATGAACTCTCATGGGTTCCATACATTTCTTTCTCCTTATTTCATTAGCTCTTTCTTTATTCAGTCATAATTTAACTAAGCTTGAATCAACAGATCATGGTTAGTACTTGGATAGGGGAACTTTACCCAGGGAGACAGACAAGACTGGGTACTTGAAAAAAAAATATCCTAGTAGACAGAAATGACACTGATTCACTTAAACAGAATATTTTCATACATTTTTGATAAAAAGTGTTTGCATTTAATGTATTTACCAATGTAAAATATCAATACAATTAAATAAACATTTTAAAATTAGCACAAATAACAACACAGGCAGGATAAGGTCCAGAGTCTCCTTATCAATGAGGTGGGCGGCATATAAAATTAATAAATAAAAAATAAATTAAAATATTATACCCCTGTAGGAAGTACAACTTAGAATTCTGCCCTAAGTGAAACAGTTAATAGGTTAGAAGGGTTATCTTAAAAATATATTATTTAGATACAAAATGGTTTAGTCTTAAGTATGGAATCTTAAAAGTTGCTTAAAAGTAGCAGAGTTAAAATAATGCAGCAATAGTCAAAGTATTCCATCTACAGTTCTTGATGAGTTGTACTTTCCTGTAAGAACAGGTATACAGCTTACACATTGTCCTGGATTCACACTTCTTGCTAGAGTAACAGTAGCTTTGCAAGAACAGCCTTTGACCAGCTTTGGTGATTCACCAGTTGTGAAATTACTAGAACAAGGAAGCACTGAAAACCATGATTAGCAGTCTTGTCATGCCCTGGTTAGACAATAGCAATTTGCTCTCCCTCAGACTGTGCTTGAGTCCTCCATAGCTGATGGATAATGTAGCTGCCTATTTGTTGCCCATTGAAAAACAATTTAGCAACAATTATGTTGCTGTTGAGCTTCTGGATCCCAATCTAAGCGGTTGACCATTATCTATGTAACTCCACACCTCCAGTTTTTGTTATCTTCAGGACTACCTACTCTACACTAATTCTGCCCACCCAATATTTGTTAGACGGGAGGGGAAGGGGCTCAAAAATTAACTACTTGGAAGCAGCCCTCCCACTCTAGAAAAGCTTGCCGTCTCTCAAAAGATCATGGTGGCCTCCTTCTTTTAAGATTCAGGAAAGCAATAAAATTACATTGTTCCTCAAAACTTCTGGTAATACCAATTAGGTGGATAGTGGGAGAGTTTTGTGTAGTACTGGTTGCTTTTGATTAGTTTATTATTACTAGTTTTTATGATTGTTAAGTTATCTGGAGTCAAGAAAGTAAACAGCATATAAATAGTTAAAAAATAGTGAAAGAATAATGAAGCTATGCAAAACATGCATGATCCAATTGTATGTGAAATTATATGCAAGTTATGAAACAATAACAGACTATGAATTTGTCTGGGCATGGCTGCTATTCATAGGAGGCTGATAACTAAGATTGCTTTATACATGCTATTTTAATACTTAAATATGACAAAGAAAATCTAAAGTTTTATTTTGAGAAAGCAAGTCCACAAATGGACCTATGGGATTTAGAGAGACTGACCTCCAATTCACTCTCTTAAATGCAGATCAAATCACAAAATATGTTCTAATAGCAATTGCACTTACTTATATACTGCTCCATAGTGCTTTAGAACACTCTCTGGGTGTTTTACAATGTTAGCATATTGTCCCCAACAATTTGGGTCCTCACTTTACCAACCTCAGAAGGATGGAATGCTGTGTCAACCTTGAGCTGGACCTGATCAAACTCCTGGCTATGGGCAGAATTTGCCTGCAATACTGCATTCTAGCTGTTGTGCCACCAGAGCTCCTCGCATCCTGCAAGTGGTGATATGACCATAGCAGCCATACCTTTTTTAAAAAAAAATACTGTTTACATAAACATCAAAATGAAAAGAGAAGATGTTTGATTCATCTAATAGGATGTGATAAATCAGCTGCCCACAGATGAAAGAAGTAAAGATGAGGCCGTTCACTGTATTGCTACAACTTCACTTTACCTAACATCTTATTAATCTTTCATCACTTATGCTTTCCCTTTAGATCAGCACCCCTCAACCTTTTGGGCACCAGGGATAGTTCCGTGAGAAGTTTTTCCATGGACTGGAGGAGGCGTGGTTTTGTGTGCTGCCTGCATCCTGCGAATGGGTCCTAGCGTGTTTGCTCGGCCCGATTTCTGGCATACCACGGACTGGTGCTGGTTCATGGATGGGGGTTGTGGACTCCTGTGTTAGATAGTACCTTTTTTATCTGTCCATTCCCTTTCCAACATATTTCTTCAATTTAAAAAACAAACTTAGATTCATTCCCATTAATTATTCTTGTATGCTTTCAATTACAATTAATTTAATTTTAATTATTATTTCAATTAAAAAAAACTTTTGTTTTCTATCCAAATCATGGTGTGTTGTCTTCATTTGTCTTTTTTCTACATATTAGCTTACAAAACGTTTCAGGACCCACATTGTCCGAATACAAGAATTTAATTCATATGTTCTCCTCCTAAACTAGAGGCAGACCCACTGTGGTCAAACTGTTAGGCTAACTTTTATCCACATTCCATTATTTCTTTCTTACCTTGTGTCTCTTTTTCTGCCCTCATGATGTGTGGTATTGCTGTCCCTAGAATGAAAGGAGGCAGAGGCATTAGGGTCAGAGTTGTGACTGACTCTGCCTCTTGTGATTTCCCCCAAATTAAATGGGCATTGTTGGTAGTTAAGGTCATAAATAAGCTAAAGCAAGATCTCTGCTTTATTCAGAGATAGGTAAAAAGACCAGGGACAGCATGACTAGTGATCTTGTTACTACTAATACAGCTGTCAAGACTGTCATCTTTTCTTGGCAAGAAACCTCTAGAAGGAAAACTTCATGGCTCCACAAGACCCTGAGGTCTCTATTACTGTTGAAAGAGGAGGATGTTTTTGAAAGCTGCATCAGTCCCCAGAGAGGTAAGTTTATAATACTCCAACACAAGAAGGCAAAGAAGGAAGCAGAGTCACCTACAGTATATACCTTCCAGTTATCTGCTGATGTCCCCTTATTTTATCAGGAACAGGAAGCAACTCAAGTTCTGCCTATGCAATCTAACTTATTCTACCAAATAATGATCACAGAGGAGGAGGTAGAGCATTGTACAGTAATTCTAACAGTCTTAGGATGTGTCTGAAGAAACATTACCAGTCTGGTCTGAAATACAGAATATAGGATACCTTTATTGTCTTTGCATTCCACGAATACAATGAAATTTGAAAGCTACTCCAGCACAGTGCCCCAAACATCACAATCATACTACAGAGTATTTAAAAATTAAAATAATAATAATAATAGAACTAAATCACAAATGCACTGTTTGATTAAAGACAATTACTGTCTTGGAAAAGAAACTGTTTCTCAATCTATTAGTCCTCATTTTAAGACACCTATAATGCCTCCCTGATGGTAACAGTTCGAAATATGAATGTCCAGGATGAGAACGGTCTGTGGAGATTTTTAGTGTTCTAGAGGGGAGACTGGTCTTCGCAATCTCTTCTAAAGAAAAAAGAGAGCAAGTAATGCTACAAGTAATAGCAAAATATTGGGCTGCAAGGGCAAGATTTTAAAATAGGAAGGAGAAACCAAACAGCTTTCATAACCATCCACTATTCTGTCCTCTAAACCCTGAAAGAACAATCATATCCCATTCCAATTGGAAGAAAAAATGAAAAGAAATTTAGGAAAATAATAGGAATGCAAGGGTTTTTTTCTGAACTAAGACTTAAAACTAATTGCAAGGAATCTAACAGCAATAAAAAGGAGGGGTTAGCTTTATTACTAATCAGGTGGGAAAAAAGGAAGGAGTAAGTCTATTGCTAAGAGATAAGAGGGTAAGAGATCATGGGGAGATCACAATGCTCCATTCCTATTCTGCATCCATCTATTTCCCCAAAGGGAAGCTGAATTCAAATGGAATTTAAACAGAACATTTGTCACAATAAACTTGGAGATTCCATTTGTAGTAACTGATCCTCAAATACAGTAAGTACCAATTTGAAATTTCTATCCTCTGAGCATACAAAATGGTCTGGCTAAATTCTGAACCAGCAAATTTGACTATCTGAAATCTCCAAATTTATCTCATAGCTTAAAAATGGTAGACTCCCTTGGAAAGATCTAATTGTAACTGAACTATTAGTCCAATGTCAACTGGTAAATCTCAATTTTGCATACGTGGGAAGCATATTTCAAATATCAGCTGCCTGTTGTAAATTTATATCATAATTCTGATTTTTTTTTAAATGGTACTAAAAAAATATAACCTCTAAGCCCAATTAGTCTCATGAGCATCATAAACAACGTCTATTCTAGAAATCTCCATCCAAAACTGGTGGATTGGTTGATACATGGTGTTATCATAGGTTTGGAGCAAGCTGGCTTTCTTTATGGCACGCATGCCGGAAGTGGAATGCAGAGCCATCTCGGCCGGCACGCAAGCTGTCACCCCAGAGCAGGTCTACTGTACAGGCATACGCGCAGGCCGTCTGCCAGCTGATCGTTGGGTAGCTGCCGTGCATGGGGGGGGCAGGGAGACCACAGGAGACATGCACGCATGTGGAGAAATATGCGGTGTATGTGGGGGGGTCTCATGCACATGCGCAGAAATGCGCATGCATGGGGAGGTCATGCATGCATCTGCAGAAATGCACAGTGCGCATGGGGGTCGTGCATGCATACACAGAAATGTGTGGTGCGCATGGAGGGGTCACACACATGCAGAGATGCGTGGTGCGCATGGGAGGTCATGCGCGCATGCGCAGGGGGTGGGGGGGCACGTGCATTGCCTTATGGGTGCTGGCACGCGCACTTTTGGCATGTGAGGACAGAAAGGTTAGCCATCACTGCTTTAGAGAAATGAGATCAAGCCTAGACTTTCCAAGTATAGTCTTGGATGAAAAGTGACACATTTTCATCAACCCTCATGCTGCTTATTGATTATTTTTTTGTTGCTTTTCTTCAGTGTAACCAACTCATCCTTTTTATTTACAGTTAAGTATGAGAAACAGAATGCCGAGACAAATTTAAATGGAATTTTAAGCTACTATTCAATTTGGACAAAACTACAGCATAATGTTCTTTAAAGACATGTTAATCTTACAGTTTACTTAAAAGATTTGTTCCCATTATTTATTTAATTAATTTATCGAACTTATTTGCCACCCAGTTCAAAGCAAATCTGAGTGTCTTACAGCAAGATAAAACACACAAAATAAACAGATATTAGCATTTATAAAACATTCTTACTAACATTTAAAATCACTAACGCTTTACAAATTGGCATAAATGCCCCCTAGAAATTCACAGATGAACTCAACAACGATATTCCAAGCAATGTGAATTAACTTTTTGTTCTCTCTTTGATCATCTTGGTCAAAAAGCAGAAATGTCAAAAAGATTTGTTGATATCAACTTAACTTTACATTATTGTGGGAAACACTGTTACAAATATTTTAATGTTTATTTAATAATGATTCTGTCATCCTGAATACTGTGTCAGAATTCAAGAAATAGATTGGGAAACATAAGAGAGAGAAATGAAATATAATAACAATAATAATTGGCTCAAGAGCCAGAAGGATCTCAACAGACTTGAATACTGGGCCCTATCTAACAAAATGAAATTCAATGGTGAAAAAAGGAAGGTTTAACACTTAGGCAAGAAAAGCCAATTGCACAGGTATAGAATATGAGCCAAGAGTGTATTGCAGCCACCAAAAAAGCCAATGCAATCCAAGGCTGCATCAGCAGAGAGAGGGAATCAAGATCATGGTAAGTGTTAATACTGCTTTATAATGGTAAGACCATACTTGAAATATTGCATCCAGTTTTGGTCAGCATAAGTATAAAAAAAAATGTTGAGACTCTGGAAAGAGTGCAGAGAAGAGCAATAAAGATGATTAGGGAGCTGGAGGCTAATGCATATGAAGAACAGTTGCAGGAATTGGGTATGTCTAAACTAGTGACAAGAGGACCGGGGATGACATGATAACAGTGTTCCAATATTTCAGGTGCTGCTGCAAAGAATAGGGGGTCAACCTATTTCCCAAAGTAGCAGAAGGCAGGACAAGAAGCAATGGATGGAAATTAATTAAGGAGAGAACCAACCTGGAACTAAAGAGAAATTTCCTGAGAGTGAAATCAATTACCCAGTGAAACTGCTTGTTTCAGAAGTTGTAGGTGCTCCATCACTGGAGGTCTTTAGAAGAGATTGGACAGCCATTTGTCTAGAATGGTACAGGGACTCCCGCTTGTACAAGTAATTGAACTAGAAAATATCCAAGGTCCCTTCCAACTCTGTTATTGTGTTATGTTATTGATGTTATTATTCAAATAAAGAAAGCACACATTTCCAGCAATACTACAACTGTGGCCATCAAAAAGAATTGTGTAGAAAGGCATGCATGCAAATTAATACTTCTGGTGCTCAATATATTTTTCATTATGAAATACTATGATTTTAAAAGAGAGAGAGAGAGAGCTTTTAGTGTTGTTCAATCCAATATGTAACAGCATCAGCTATAGAATTTTTAGCATATAATAGAAGCATTGGTATGCTTCCATTGTTCCAAATGTGCCCCCATTACTTAACATTAACCAGTATAATCATAAGGCAATATTAATGTAATATTTCTAGAAAAAAAGTTCCAAATTAATCAAAGACAGAGCAAACAACAGAGGACTGGTTAAATGTGAAATCCTACTTCTTCCAACTAACTGCAACTAAACAAGGATGTTTCCAGCAGTATGAAAGGGAGAACTCTTAGTATTATAATTCAGCATACTTTGCCTTTGCCAGGAAGTTGAACAACTGGCCCTGTGGTGCAGCTGGAATCATTTGGAGTTGAACATACTTAAAACTGTAGATGATAGGGGATGTAAGGAGTAGCCTTCCTATTCTACCACCTCTTACTGTATTGGACAACACAATATCAACAGTAGAGACCTTCAAGTTTTTGGCTTCTATAATCTCCCAGAATTTGAAATGGATACCTAACATTAGAACCATCATTAAAAAGAGAATGCTTTCCTGCATCAGCTCGGAAAGTTCAGACTGCCCAAGGAGCTGCTAATACAGGAGGAATTATTGAGTCTGTCATTTGTACTTCTGTAACTGTCTGGTTTGATACAGCAACCAAACAGGACAAGTACAAATTTCAACGGATAGTTAGCACTGCAGAAAAAACTATTGCAACCAGTCGACCTTCCATTGAGGACCTCTTTACTGCACAAGTCAGACAGTGGGCTGAAAAAATATCTACAGACCTCTCAAATCACGGACATAAAACTGTTTCAATTCCTCCTCCCAGGACACCACTACAGACCACTGCATGCCAAAACAACTAGACATAGACTAGTACTATCATTCTGCTGAACACCTAATTCCCACAGTACTGTCTTATGTTTATTTACCCATGTAGCAGGGCTGCGTTACTTTTAGCCTTCTCACCTGTTCCATTACCTTCTCTTATTGGTATAGTTAATATGGTTGTTTTATTTTGATATTATGATTTTTTTACTTTGTAGTTTTGCGTGCACACTGACAGCTTATACACCAGAGACAAATTACTTGTGTGTCTAATTACACTTGG